CCAAGGGCGTCCAAGGGCGTCCAAGGGCGTCCAAGGGCGTCCAAGGGGGTCCTGGTTTGTACATGCTTGTAAGCGATATGATCTCCGTTGTACCACTTGGCAAGGCAGAGTCCATGTATACACCCATAGTTTCCATCTAGAGCCTCTAGGGGATACCAACAAGCCCGGACGTCCCAATCAACTCACCTGATCTTCAGTCCAGCCGCCCTTCGTTCTTGGCAAATGTGGAGGATGCATCCTCAGACTCAACAGCTCGCAGGACACTCTCAGACTTCGGAAAATGCATGTCCAACCAACACAACCTGAAACTCCACAGCTGAACACCTTCTGTCGAAGGAAAGGGCTAGTCCTCGCAGCAGAACTATCTAGGCGTGAATAAGGTGGAACACTCTGCAGTTCAACAGCTTTGCAGAGCTCACTTGCGAGATCTTGAAGAAATGCAAAGAATGCAAGCCTCCCAGACTTTCGGAAGTTCATGTCCTTCCCTGAATCGAAAGTTATTTCCAAACGGTGTGTCATATGGCAAATCTAAGTTGCATCAACATTGAAAGCCCAAGGCACATCTGATTGGGAATACTTGTTTTGGCCGGGGACATGCACATTGTAGCCGCCCTGCGGCAAGTGATCACCTCAGTGTGCGCGCCAGAGCGTCATTCCCACCCCATGATCGAGAAGTCATCTGATGCAAAGAAGGAGCCACACATATCCCGGTCAATCATGTCTCGCTCAACCTTCTTGTCAAGGTTGATGTCTTCCTGTGAGTTGAGTCTCTGTCAGTGACAGTGAGGCTCACACAAACCTCAAATTGGCCTAAAACATCCTAAGACCATCCGCTCCCACGGAAAACAGCCTGGGCGACCCTGTCACCCGGTACCATGACTCTTATTGACTGGCCCTGAGTTAAGGCTATCAAGTGGGTTAAAGCCTCTGATCAAAGAAGCTACTAAGATCTACTAAGCGCAGCTTGCAGCATCGCTCTGAGTCTGGGACTCGCAGTGCAATTCGTTTCTTTATACGATCCAAATCACCTGAAGTGAGAAAGCGATCAGGCGCTTTACAGACTTGGATCATTAAGGACTCAATGACATGACTGATCAAGGAGTGTCATCTGCCAAGTGGCGTCGCAAGCTCTGTCGTTCATTCGCCTCACCATGCATTCATCATGACTCTCCAAGACCAACCAAAGCTGTTTCAACTGCACAGCCCATCGCTCCACCAGGAAGATGGAACAATGATGAACAATGGCCGATGCTGCATGGCTTTTGACGAAGTTTGGCCTTTCAGGCGCCTTATTGAATACTGGCGACACTTCTATCATCTTCTGCCCTTCAGCCCAATCCCGACCCCACCGAACCAGCATGCGCGTCGCCAAATCCCGCCAAATCCCCAGGCCACCATGGCCTCCCCCGGATTGCTTGCAGAGGTATCCAGGGATCCCAGAAAAACGACCTAACCGGCCTTCTGAAGCTCTGAATCCAACTGCTGCGTCAAGGTGGTCTTCTCCTCCAACTCGCGCTTGGCCGCTTGGATCTGGGCACGAAGGCCCTGGCCGCGGCCGTTGCGGCGCGCCGTGGCGTTGCGGCGCGCCGTTTCGGGGTGGGTTCGGGGGGGTGGAGGAGGTTCCTGGAAAAGCGGCCTTGAGGTCATTGAGTGAGACTTTGGGGCGGCAAAATTGCTGGAAATTGATATAACTTGGTTGGGTACATTATATCCCATTACCAGTAACAGCAGGATGATGATTGGGTTGCGGGCCTTTCTCCAAGATGATCTGAAAAACCCACTGGACCCTGGCAATGGGCTACACCCGACTGTCCAATAGGTTCCATTGCAAAACGCGTTGGACGTGCGAAATCCGAGTTCGTGGCTAGACTCGCCCCGCCTCTGCTGTGGTTGCAACAGCCATGGCAGGAACAGCTGTCCTTCGCCCGAGAGATCCCACGAGTTCGGTGCCGTCGGCGCCAATCAATGAAATGGATGGCAATGACGTGATCCTAAGGAGATCTGTCTGTATTGCCAGGTTGATGTTTGAAATGGCACACAGATCATCACAGATCCATCTTCGAGCCGACACAGCGGAAACTTGCAGCATCGAGCGGGCTGAATGATCTAGTGGGTGTCAGCTACAGCATCCATCAGCATCCTATAGCTGACAACAAGAATCTCACGCAAGTGGTGATTCAATCGGTCCTCACCTCAACGGCAAATCCCCTCTCTTCCCCGAAAAAATGAAGAGAACACAAACATTCACATACCGATCATTTGTATGTCTGACAGGTGATGTCTCCATTGGGGCCACCCAGATCGGAGATGCTCAGACCGGCTTGGTCCCTGACCGGCTCCCGGCTTCGCCGCTTCATTCCAAAGCTGTCGGAGGTCGCCGTGGAAACCCACACCTGCCGTGGGTTTCACGCTCCGTGCCAGCCCAACGTGGAGGTGGGTCTCTAAAATGAAGACCCCATTTTGGAGTGGATGTTTATCGATATATTCGAGTGCAATCGAGGGGAATCATTGAGGTAACTTGGAGGTATTCAGATAGGTATTCAATCGCCTGGTACCCCACAGTGTTTGGAAGAGAAGCCTGGCTCAGTGTGTGAACTGAGCCGATGAATGCGATGAGCCCAAAGGTGTTTCATACTTGGGAGCCACACGGTTTCGCACTGCGTTGTACCAGTCCTGGGCTATGCAGCGAGAAAAAAGACAGGCTGGAACAGCCAAGGGCATGCAGCTTTGCATATATATATATATATATAGACTACTGTATGTATAATGCGAGAAAACATCAAGACAGCAACGATTTAGGACCCCCTTGCTGCTTGTGTTGCTTCTGTTCTTCCAGTTTTCCCCACAGCAGCGAGCGAAATCGCCGAGATGGAGCAGAAAAGGAGCTTGGGATCCCATCCGCTCACAATTCCCTCTCCTGTGGTGTTCCGATCCTCGCCAGCCCTGCGCCCCCCCCCTCTCCTCCTTGGAGAGGTGTCCCTGGCCCAGTGGGTCCAAAGCGACCTTCCACGCAATGGCCTCGGTCCGCGGAGAAACGGCCGGTGTCTCCGGTGGGAACCCTAGAGGTTCCAACAGGGACTAAGATGGGACCAAGGGGAGGGGGAAAAAGGATGTGGCACCACATCCTGCTATTCCAAAATCAACCCTAGACCCTACTGTAGCTGTCAAACATGTCGTGCTGGGTGTCAGATGTCCAAGACACTCATCCTGTGTTTCTCATGAGATGCTCACAGGGTCTTGGGCGGCGGAGTGTCTTTCCTGAGTGTGGGGCCAAGTTCTTGTATTTCTTGGTCAGCATCGCCTGCGGTCTGTGTCCCAGAACAGCTCATCCTGAAATTCTGCGCAGTCTTTGGTGGAACAGACTGCGGCAGACTGCCCGCAAAAAGGATTCACCACTGGAATCACACTTACAGTATCTTACAGTCTTGTAATCTGTTTTTCACCTGACAAGCCCCCGTAACCAGCAGGCCCAACAGCGCCCACAAGCCCCAGCGCCTTCAGAGTCTTGAGAGTCTCGCAGCCCACATCAGCTTCATTCTCCTGCCGCTGGAAGGCAAGCCAGCAACAAGAAATGTTAGGTACACCAACATGGTGTCTTGGATGGTTTCGGAAACCAACCAGCTGAAACTGGTGTAAACCAAACCAGCCCCAAAAGTCCGCTCTACGAGTCAACCGATTCATCCCACCTGTTTGGTTCGCTCAGCCATCTCAGTCCGACTGATCTTGCTCTGCGCCTAGGGAGTCCGGTCGAAATGGATTCGGCGTTCGGATTTGAGAGGGAAGGGATGGGGTATGGGGTGGGAAGGGATGGAGCTTTGGCTTGTTCTAAAGCTACAGCTTCGAGCTGAGGTCATACTAGCCCTTCCTACATGTTGAGTCGTCCTGATCAAAGTCTTGCCACGGAAATCTCAGGTGCGGGCGCGCGTCCATTTCACTGAGAACATGTTGTCCTGCATTCGGGAGCATCACGCAGCAACAAGAACAACGTTGAACGAGGCTCTCCACAACAGGTGCAAACACATGTTGCCAAGAGACCCCTACCTTCAGTACACACCCTGTATATATATATATATCCCTCCACGTCCATTTTTCCTTATCTAAGTGATCCGTCACGGGAAAACACCCGTCATCCGTGTCATCCAATCAGATCCTGCCGCTCTTCGAAGCTCATCTCGAGCGGGTTGGTCTTTTCATACTTCTGCGCCTGGCAACGACTCTGCGGGGCCCTGCGGGGTGAGAGGAGTCACATCTCACCCGTCAACGTGGTCTTGTTTCTTCCAAGACTTGGTTCACTAGACACCCGACATGAAACAATGAGGCTGGAGTTGCAAAAGAGCCGACAGAAAACTTGTAATTCATGAATCAAACCATCTTCCCACGTCCCTCTTCAGCGTCTTCGACCCGTGCCTCCACGATCATGTCAGTGTCCATACGCGCGTAGGCCTGGTACGCAGCCAGGTCGAACCTCAGCTAGCTAGCAACAAGTGCATCGCTACTAGTAACATCTAGTAACAAGTGCCGAGCTTTGACCAGGCCATCAAGCTGCTTCTAAGACCGCCCATGGGCCACACTTTGAGAAAACCGATCAAAGATATGGAGTCCAAGGATCACCCAGGATCAGGGACAAGATCTCCTGGAGATGGACTAAGGCTTACTAAGGATCCGGCTCTCTCAGTGACATCTTCTTGTATTGCTTCTGCTTCAAAGGGTCATCCTGCAGCGAGCCGCTCAAGTTGCAGGACCAGGACCTTTCTCTTCGGTCCAAGATGCCATCCAAAATGCCCACAAACCCTCGTCACCCCAAAATTAGAGGCCGAACACCAAAGAAGCGCCACTCCATTGCGGACTTATTCTTTGCCACCGCAGTCCCTTCACCTCCAATCTAGCCAACATCCATGGTGCGCCAGGGAAACGCACGGAGCACCCGGGACTTGGGCCGTCGGGCCAGCAGGTCGTGGAAGAGCTGCACCTGGTCGATGAGAGGGCTCAGACAAGGCACTCCAACAGCACCCCCTGGAGTGAAAAGGAACATCGCCTTCCTTTCGGTTCCCTGTTAGTAAGTCAGAGTGTAAACTCCTGGTGAAAAAAGGTACTCACACCAAAATGATCCAGAACTGACGTGTGTTGTGGGTGTTAGACATGAGTTCACATGTCTCGTGCGGGTCCGCAAACTCCTAAACTGGCCCTTGGCCGGATACCACTGTACACATCTTGAGGTAAGGCCCGCAAGGGCGGCATGAGACCTTCGGTGTGGATATATCTATTTTTTTTTAAGAGAGAGAGAGAGACAGAGAGTTACAGTAATAAGTCATGTCAGCTGCGGAGAAACTCCAACAAAAACAAAATGTAATAAAATGTATCACAGTCATAGCCTGCATATGGTGGATTCACTTGACATGTTTTGTCCGGATTCGAATTCAGCCAGTTTGAGACGCTCCAGTCACACACCGAGCGAGTCGCTGGAGATTCGGTGGAGCGGCAAAACGGATTCAAGCCCCTGAGAGATGGACGATAATCACCCCAGGAATTCTCGAGGCGTCCACTTTGACGCATGGATCTGGAAAGGGAGCTAGCTGGCGAGCATTTCACCTCATCTGTTTTGGCTCCGAGGTGCCAGATCGCCCTCCACACCCTCTTCAGTACACCTCAGAGGCTTCGAACTCCAAAGCCAGGAGCTTTGCAGAGCTTGGTGTTTTCACAAGTAGCGTGGGCAACTGCTGGCGGAGATCAAACGATGCCATACCCAATGAGGGTGGGTGTTCAAAGTCCTACACCCAAGGGTGTCTGCACAGTGTCCGTTATTCTCAGACAAAGCCAAGGCCAGTCCGATCGGTTTCTGTGGTGGCAAAGCACTTCCCATCTAAGTGAAGGTCATGACCAGTGACCCAGTGCACCAAAAGACACTCTGAAACCAACTTCAGCTGCTATCTCTCACGTCCGGCTGCAGAGCTGAGTTCATCTTCTGGGTTCCCAGCTGCTTCACAAATGCAGCCTGCAAAGCTTCTCCAGATTTAACCCTTACATCCATGGATGGTTACATATCCATTCCCCCGCATCCCCTTGAAGCATGTTTGATGTGAAAAGTCGTTGCAGCGCAAAAGAATGCACCAAAAAGCTGTGGTGTCTACTTAAATATAACCCATCTATCATGTCTATCTGTGGTCCCCAACAGGTCCTCCTTCAAGCTATAGCAAATGGTAAGTTCTGACAAACCCGGGTCTACATCTCACCATCATTCGTGCACCAGATGCACTCCGCCACCAAGCTCATATGGTGAGGTGCTATGGTATGTCATGCTGTGACATGGTGTGTCCCAAAAGAATTTTGGTGCACAGTAGACCAAGGACCGAACCAAAAAAACACAGAGAGAAAAACATGTTGTCAACAAAGATCCGCAAAGAATGTACGAAAAATACATGTAATCACGAATCCATCCATGCCGACGGGACTTATTCTATCTGGATTGCTACTATAAGTTACTATAACTGTATGAGACAAATGGTATGCGTAAATATTATATATATACCTACTTGGCACTCCACCTGGCACTTCAACTGGACCCTTTGGTTCACCTACCAATTCAGTTCTGACTTGGCGTCCCTCTCTTCGTGGGGCGCGAGGCCTCGTCAATCAGGCTGCGGCCGTTGGGATCAAAGGCCGTCTGCCTCGGTCGGCGGTTCCCACGGGTCGGCCGAGATCGCCGTCCGAACAGCCGTCCGAAAGGTGGGGCGGGTTGGGTCGGTCCTTCAGAACCAGGTTGAGTCCTTCAGAACCAGGTGAGGATGTTCCTTTTTGGACCAGAAGGCATGAGGTACAGAAGGCTCTCTTGGATGGTCCACTGTTTCGACCGAAACCGGTCTGAGGGCCAAACCACGCATTGAGCATGTTTCCGTACCTGAAGCATCTTCCCAGGGAAGCGAAAGCTCGCCCGTTCAGCGTTGGCCCTACAGCGGGGTCCACTTGGAGCCAACTGCTCTTCCCAGGTTTGTCCGCCTTATGTCAAATATAGCGTACGTAATGTGTGTGTACGTCGTGTGTACACATGGATTCTCATCACAAAAACACGAAAAACACGCATCGCCAACCTTGCTTTTTACACTTGCTGAATCTTCCTTGCGCACTTGTCGCAAAGGGTGTTGTGGAAGCCTTCCATCCTCAGGTAGCAAAACTACTGTGGCTTTTGAAGGGTAGCAGCAACACTTATCTATATACTGCCAACGAAGGGTATATCATAGAAGGTTCAGTAGACCTTCGGCAAACGAGCAAGCAAAAGCAGGTGAACGTTCGTTTTTTTCACTGCGAATCAGCCAAAACCAAAGAGTGGTCGCCCGTTTCCGTGAACCAATGTTGAGATTGAGACAAAGAGCACCTTGAACCCAAAGTTCTATTGTACAACGTATCCAAGGCGCAGCTCATCGGACTTCCGGTCCAAGTGCCGGAGTCGCAGCACGCCGTCGCGCTCCGCGCCCAGGGCGATCCAACATTCCTGGCGCCCCATCCGAGCGACCAGAAACGAAACCGAAAAAAGGCTTGAAAGAAGTGGAGAACAGGTAAGAGAGCTGTTGTTTGGCCAAGTTTCTGGCGATACTGAGATGGTTTACCAAATTGGGGTGGAAGGGAGATCCCTTCATGGGTAATGGTCAAAGCTCTTTGAGTCAGACATATTAGACGTGTCCGGCCTTTAGGGCTTTGACAATAATTATGCAACATAAGTTAGTTGTCAGAAGGCAGATGGTGAGTGAAGATATTCTGGTGCCACATGCGCGAAGCTTCAAGAATATCTTGAATAAAACATGTGCGAGATCGACCAAAAGCCGCACCAAAGTCAGCCACAAGTCATCTACCTAAGTGCACCTTCATATCCCCAAGGAAGCCGATATTGCGCATTCGGTCACAGAACTCCTGCAGGCCAGCATTGGATCCAAGAGACACAGAACTCCACAAGATTTTTGAGGCCACCTCAATGTGACAGGCCCAATTGCATTCTCAAACACTCAAACATGTTCATGTGCCTCCAAACACGGCCCCATCGTAACGTACCGAAACGCATATATATATATATATACATATAATCATGTATATACAGTAATATACAGGAGCCAACTGATTTGTTGAACCCCTCTCCTGGAATCCAATCTTGCCCGAGTCAAAGGGATCGAACACCTCGCGAGACGTGAAGGCTGCTTTTTGATCTCTGTCAACAAGCTTCGCCCTACCAAACTGTTGGGACCTGGTCAAGGGCCTTCATTGTGGCGTCAAAACCCTGACTGCTCCAGGATTTTGGCGTAAATCTGTGCCTCGTTCCAGGCTTTCCGCAGCGATCCGTACTTGAGCCCGAGCTGGAGCCTCAGGTCTGACTGAGGAATGCGGCCACAAAAGATGCCGAGAATCCACTGAATCCACGAGATGTCCGGGGGTATGATTTTTAACCACATCTTGCATTGCATTGGAGAATCCTTGTGAGGGAAGCCTTGTTTTGCATTGGTGCTCGAACTCTTGGCTGCAGGCAGCAACTCGTCTTTGTTCATCATGCCCACGTCAGCATCTTGGATACAGCAAGTCTGCTCACAAGGAAAATTGGTGGCTGCTAGTGAACATAGAGCTGGATCGTAACGATGATATGCAGGAAAGTGTCAGGACAAATTATTGCAAAAAAACTGGAAAAATGTGAATGACTAGCCATTCTTGCCATATCGCGCACAGCATTACAAGGTGTGACGGCATTACTCGGCATTCTTGGACATGTCAACAGTGTCGAAACCTTCTCAACTTGGGCACAGACTGATCTTTTCTTCTTCCCGAATCGAACGGTCCATCACCTGAACAATGACTTGCTGGTCCCGCAGCTTCCAGCTCTCAACACATATCAAAGTCCGTCCCAAAAAACGAACTAGACCTCGTTGGGCCAGATATCTGAGCCCTCTCCCGCAATGGATACGCACGGAAAATGGCTGCAGTATCCAATCACCAGCTACATCTCCATCGTACTGCACATGGCCAACGAAGTTCCGCGTTTTTCTCGCGCCTGAACCTTCGAGCAGCTCCGGATATAGTCCGAGTTCCGCGTGGGGGTCGCCACATCCCAGCGCTCTTCACCTCCATCCACCCTGCGAGTGAAAAAAAGAGAGGTTCGACCGACCGAGGTCAGATCGACCGACGTTCAGGACGTCACTGGGTCCGATGTCCGGCGTAAATAATAGCTTCTTGCTCCGTTCGTAGCGATGCCCTTTGTTCCTAGTGGCTTCTTGCTCCGTTCGTAGCGATGCCAGGAGCTACTAGTAGCGTCCTTGCTCCTACGTTCTGGGGAAGGGTGGAGAAGCGCCTTCTGAAATGTTCTGAATGGCCAATTACAAATAGACTTGCCAGAGGAAAAACTACAAAATCATTGTGCTGGTGTATTTCCTCAATCCAATGCCACCTGGATGCAACCACGACAAACCCACGGCCCAGGCTCCAGCTGACGTTCATACGAGAACAAACCAAAAACTCTAGTTTGCCCGAACATATTCACGTAGCATTAGCCCACGGTAGTACAGGAGTCTCTCTAATAGTACGGATCCCGAGACACATCTGAAGCTGCTTGGATATCTAAGGAAGGATCATCGAAAGGAAAAAACATAGTACTGTAAGTGCTCAGCCCTTCGTATCTCATGCACCCTCCTCTGACATTCTTTTGCAAGCTTTCGAGATGAATGTGGACTACACTTGCAAGCATTGCTTGTAATGCTTTTGTATTCCCGTTTTGGTGGGCTGCTTCACAGCACACGTGGTCTGAGTAGCCCCCAGAATCAAACTGTTAGCCGCCAATCCCGGCCTGAGTGAGCGCGCTTTGCTGCCTGCAGTGCGAAAAGCAACACCAGTGTGTTGGCACATCGATTGAACAGTAGTGGCCTCAACAGGTATTCACACCTCTCGGAAGCCCTCTCAGAAGCACATCGAGCGCAGCCAAGCTGACTAAAAGAGGTGGAGTGAGTAGCCTTCCAAATTTCAAGGACTGTGACTTCCACAAAAACATGGGGTTCGACTCTTAAAGTGAATCATGGATGGAAAAAGTGGGATGAATCTCCCCGTCCATCAACTTAGACCCCCATCACTGTGACAGGACTCAGTCGCCATCTGCCGCCCAGTGGCAAGGCCGTGACATGGGAGAGACGTCTTCATCAAGGTCAAGGCTGGAGAGCTTCAAGGTGTGCGCCTTGCTGCCTGGCGATGGCGACGCACCTAGGAATGATGGGCCTTGGGAAAACTGGGAGGACTTGAGTAGAGATGTTCAGTTGCTTGGAGGTAGTGCGTTCGGCGAGTTGGGAATGATCTCGATCAAAATGATTTGTTGCCATTAAGAAGGTTCATGATCTATTTCCAAGTTAGTGATGCCAAAATGTGGTCTCTGTCCGACCAAGATCCGAGATCGCCTTCAAAGCCTCCGACTCCCAGGATGACAGGACCGGGCCCCGTACGGCCCCGTACTACCGCCCCGGCTCGACCCGGTCTACAACCGCCTGGACGGGAAGGTGACCGGGACGGTGATCGCGGCGGGGAGAGCGTCTCATCGGGTGGCAAGGTTTTGATGGACCTGGCCACGGATGCGAATCTTTCGGTGCATTGTGAGGCTTGGTCCGCGCAAAAGAAAGAAACATCAAGAAACACGCACAACACACCAAGACCATAAGCCACGTCCGACAAAAGCAAGAACGCAAGGCAGACCCCTCCATCAAGTCGAAATCACCATCCTGAGAAGTGCTGATTGCACAAAAGGTAGCAGAATAGGAGCAACGGCAGTTTTTCTCCAAATCCGACTGTCTCAAATTGGGCGTCTAAGTTCTATTTCTATATACCCAGAGTGTTTTTGGTTTCCTCATATTGAGACACCTTGAAAAAAGTCAACTCAAATCGTTGTGTGAGTGATTTTGACTGTACGTATTCCCACGCAGCAGGATCGTCAGCAACCGCAGTGCAAAAGACTGGACACCAGTCACAATAGATCAAACCACCGCGGTCAAGACTAGCACAAGCAAAGTGCCAATTCAAGCGTCTAAGACATCATGGCTATGAGGTTCCCCTATGAACCAAATTAGAGGGGAACACAAACTTATATAAGCCCAAACACGCTTAGACTTAGACCAAACCCGAAAGGGACACGGGAAGTCCAAAAGAATCCAAAGCAGGGGACACTACACCCAGGCCCAAACATCTTCGAGCACATGGTACCCTCAATAAAGCACCATCAACAAGTTGAGGTAAGCATCTTTCCGCCTAAACGAGCCGACGAGCCATTGAAGGATTTGTTCGATGCAAAACCGATCTGGTGAGTCATTTGCCCCTCACGCAGTCTCATGCAGCAAGTGAAAAGGAGGACACCGGGATGACCCAGCAAGCGCAGACTGCAAAGATACAATCACGACCAAGCGTTCATCACGGAGGCTCCCATTTGCGCATTGACTTCTCCTCCACCGTGGAAATCATCAAACACACAGTCGGCAAAGAGCTCCTGGTGGGTGCCTTCCTTGACATGCTTGGCACAAATCTTCTTCGCTTCTTCAGTACATGGTGCGTGGCTCCGAATGGAAGCTCCAAGCTGCAGCTTTGCATTCAAAAAAATGCTGCTGCAGCTTCACTGCCACCGGATGTGACCCTGGAGCCTCATGTCATAGCCAGTGTCCGTCTTCATATCGATGGCACTCAGGTCGGAAGAAAACGGTACCCATTCTTGGTGTCAGAAGAAGCTCCCAACTCACCACCCACATAGTCCAGCTCGCTTTTCCGGTACACCAGGCTTGCAACTGGCATGGAGCATCGCCACCTCTTGCCCTGATCTGACTTCATACTCGAGTTCAGTTCCGAGGAGGTCATGTTCAGCTCGCATCCTTCACATCAAAAGTGGCGGATTTCTCTGTTCCAGACAAGAGCCCAAATACCATTTGCCATCCACTCCTCTCTGTCTTGGCCTCCACTTGCAGTCCACGGCTTGCATTTCCAAGGTCTGCAGAATGCTTATCCACGAGCAGCAGGTCCTTGCATTATGCCACGAAGTTGCTCTGCTTCAACAAGGTCTAGAAGGCACCCCCAAGTGTGTAAATGCGCAAGTACCCACAAGCACCTCGGGTTACAGTGGTGATTATTGCTGTCGTTGGGTTGCCGCAATAGCACAAAGGCTCCTGATGGCCTCAAGCGTTTGCATCGCAGTTGACTTGATCAGCACTGGCTCCGCTGAAGAAGTAGCCTCCCTCGACGTTACGGTTGTTGGCTCTAAAAGGGGGCCCTGCATAAGCTCTTTCGTGTTGAAATTACAATGTCCCAAATGCTGTTCACGATGTTCTGCATCTTCTCTGGGCTGTTAACCTTGGCCATCTCCTCTTTGTTACAACCAGCTTCAGACTGCATTGCAAAACGGCTCCTGAATCCCCGATGGCCAAGGACAACAGCGCGATCCACAAAAGCTGCATGGCAAAGCGATCTAGCTGATTCTAGCTTGCAGCTTGTGAGCCAGGTTGAGCCATTGAAGGTATATACATTCCAAGAAGCTAGGAGTCCTTCATATCGACCCATATGTTTCGCGCCGTTTCACCGATGTGACCCCGTTCCCCATCTCTTCGACGATGGTGCGAAACATCCTAAAACATGGAGCTGAAACGCAGCTGAGGGCGAGGCAATTCCTCCGAAGGTGTCCGCCTTTGATCTGTGGTTCGCTGGACTGAGAAGGCCTGCTGAGAGCGACGAAGACCTCGTTCACGCGGCGCCACGGCGGCGAAGGAGTTCCCTCCGGTGTCCTTGTGCCATTCGTAGACGGGTCTAGCTCACAAACCTAGTAGGAAGTCCAAGAAATCTGTGGCGATGTTGAGATCTTCTTGAGACAACCTCTGGAGATGCAAAAACAAAAGTATGTGCAGCGAAACCTTGTGGTTCTGATTGGAACCTGCAGTGCAGAATACGATTTCGCATTGATATGGTGTACAAGAATAGTAAACCGAATCTTGTCCAGCAATCACAAAGACCTCCTGTCCTACCACCAACCTATGCTCGGTCTCTTTGTTTCGTGTGCTTCCCATCAGCCGTCCCGCTCAGCAACCGGGCATCGGCGAGCTGGGCGCCGTCTTCAGCCGTGATCGGGTCTGCTTCAGGTCTGGGCCAAAGATGGGAGTGTGAAGAGGGTGAGTCAATTTGGGAAGTTTGTTCCAGGAATCTTGGATGTGACCTCTATGAAAGCATATGAAACCTATGACCTTGACTTAGTCAATCGATAGCATCTGGTGAAGACCGGGCGGATATCATCGGCTCAACAAGCCTCATAGGGGTGACCCTATGAATCTCATAGAGGTTTGATCAACACCCTAGCAATGGTCATAGCCTGGGGCAACGTCTTCCCCAAAAAATCAGGGCTCTATGGTTGCTGGTTGCGATGATTGGGGTTCGATGGTTGAAGAACACTACCAGTCAGTCTACCTTCATCGCCAACCTGATCTGCAGCTGTCGCTTCTCCAGGCTACCCCGCTGTGGCTGGTGTTGCACCGTGACATGATCAGCGGAGACAATGGCGCCTGCAGACCGATCGCAGAACCCGAAGGACTTCCGGAGAATCTCGGATCTCCATCTCAAAACACCCCAAAAGACATCAATTTCTCCAAATCTTCTCCAGATGATGTCAATGTCCCGGATGATGATCTCCATCTCAATGTTCTTCCAAAGACCCACTCCCGAGCCACGTGTTTGTTGCGCCTTCGGCTTGGGTGCTGCGGTGGCCTGGCACAGACCACTGCGGCGGCTGACCCAGTGCCACGTCGTGCCGTCTCTCTCCCGCCTTGCGGCCACCTCCATAGCTGATGGCTTCGGCACATGGATCAGCCTGGCAAACAGCTTGGGTCAAGAGTCCAAAGCCCTTGATTTCCGTGGAAGAAGGACCTTGGAAGAGTAAGACAAGAGTTTGTAACTCTTGAAGAGAGTTTCGTGTCTGAAAAAAAAAAAGGAAACACTAATTGTAAACTGTGTAGACTATACGTATCTATACGTGCACTTTTCTCGCTTCACACTGGCTTTCCCTCCCGTTCCTCGAAACTATACGGGCCCCGACCCGGTAGACTGCTTCACCCGTCTGTGGGTCAAAGTCTTCGAGCTTCAGCTCCCGACCTCGGGAACGGCACGGACTCACACGTCTTTGACCCAATACGGTAGTGGAACGGATAGATATGGTACGGATAGTGGGTGACTGGCTCAAACAGCCCAGTGTGATACTATTGAACTTGAAAGGAACCAGCACGAATATCTGATGTTATCCTTGGGTGTTGATCGCACACCATTCGCTTTGTCTTTGCCCCGCGAAGCTTTTCGCTGAAAAAAGAAAACAAAGCCCCTCGAGCAGCCAACGGAGGGAGGCTTCCTTTTGTGCTGCTGTTGTGGCAAGGTCAGGTCAGGATTCTCTGCGGAGTCTGCTGAACACAATTCAAGTTCCTCAAAAACTTTGTAGAACCTCTAAAGCTGACCCAACCAAAGGATCGGCCCAAACAAAGAACGCTTCATGATTCTGGGTGCCTTAAATGGTGAATTGATAATTATCTTCTATATCAATATCATCTATTCCACTGTCAAGCGCACGAATGCCCCTTTACTGATTTTGCTTGTGTATGTGTGTCCAATTGTTCTCGATTGTCCTTCTTCTCCTCCTTCTTCTTCTTATCGCTTGATGGGGTGAGTGATTTCATGGAAACCTTCCAAAAGAACGCTTCTGACCCCCCCGTGGCCATGTCCACTCCACAGCAAAAGCTATGGATCCCAACGGCTCCAGTCCGTGCGGAGGAGCTTAAACAGCCGCCGGGCGTCGCCTCAATTCCACGAGGTACGCCGTTCCGCGCCGTTCCGTGCGGTCGCCTGTGGCAGGACGTCGGGTCAGTCGCTGGGTGTCCCGCCGACAAAGCCCAACTCCTGTGTTCACACAGAGCGAACTCCCAATGTCTGTCAACTCCGGGGCTTGCTTCAGAAAGACTGGACATGGAAGGAGGCTAAGAAGGTACCAAGGTACAGTATGTCCTGGGTCATCGAGACTTTCTTAAGGGATCTACTTGAGACATCCTTTGACATCCTTGCACCTCGTGCTCCAGGTGGACAGCCGAAGATGGAGTTCTTGGAATGAATTTCCGGAGTGGACCTGGTCTCTCGAGCCGGGACTGGTTGACCCTGGTCTCAACGGCGACCTGCCAGCGGTCCTGGCAGCGCGAGATGAAAACCGTCTCGGGCACTCCAGGCTTGTTTTCGAGGTTGAAACCTCGGAGATCATCCAAGTCGGCAAAAAGAAAGATTAGATAAATGCATTCAATGGACATGCTGGTGTACTGAAAATCTCTGGTGCAAGCACCATGACAACCACTCAACCAAGTTTTGGGGCCATGGCCATGGTGCCAAGCATTCAGCATATTCCCGTGCTTGTCCATACACAGAGCCCTGAAGTCCTCTAGCTCTTGAAATGCCTGGCCAAAGCCAAGTTCAGAAAGTTTAGGGACAAAGAAAATCATTATTGTCAAAGTAAGTGGTTCCTCTACAGAAAGCTAAGGAGTCTAGCGGCCCTAGCAAGTGCCCTTCCATCATCTCTCATCAGCCTTGGGATCAATCTCTTTCAAAGAGATGAAGCCACACTTATCTGTATCAAGCTCGCCCCAGAGCCTCAGACCAGAGAGAAGACTTTCTCTCCAGAACAATGCTTCGTGGTGAATTCACCCATTTTGGTGCACCATCAAGGAACACCTGGACTTGGGACTGCCAGAACAGCTCCATGAACGAGGCTTGCGTGAATCCGAATGGAAGAGTTTGGTCGAAATATTCAAGACTCTCATATGTTTGTTCTGATGAAAGCATAAACACATATATATGTATTATATTATGTTATATTATATTATACTATACTATATTATATTATATTATATCATATATATGGGAGTTGATCTAAATTCCTTTATCCGGGATCCGTCATTTTCGCCAAAAAAATTTACTTTCGCCAAACTTTCGCCTTCCTGCGTTTTATCTTTCGCCGAAGTACATTGTATTTATGTGTGCCATGTCTGTTGTGTTTTGTTCACGTCAATGGCTTCTTCTTTACTGGCAAACACAAAATAGAAACTTCACTGTTTGTCAGCATGTGTCTTCTACTTAACTGTTGACACCCAGTACGTCTCTTATCAAAATTGCAAGAATCACTGTAGTAGCCGGTCACTCAAACTTACTCATAATGGGCTGGGGGTCAGATGTGGCAGGGTGAACTTTCGCCAATCTTGAGCTGAACTTTCGCCAAACTTTCGCCTTTTGCGGGGTAGACTTTTGTGGCAAAGCCACCCCAAAGCAGGAGCAGGAATAGTAGTAGTAGTAGTAGTGGTAGTGGTAGTGGTAGTGGTAGTGGTAGTGGTAGTGGTAGTGGTAGTGGTAGTGGTCGTGGTCGTGGTCGTGGTCGTGGTCGTGGTCGTGGTCGTGGTCGTGGT